GAGCGATTAATTGGAATCTGGCGCGAAAATGCTGCGAAAACAAGCTACATAAGTGGATATCAGACGTCGACGAGCTGAGGGACGCAATTATTAGCCTAAACGACTACTCGAGGCACACTTACACTCCTCCTCCGGCCACTCGCGAGTCGAGTTTATAACGCCGTTTGTTCGCGCGAAGCGAACCTTACGTTTCGTAATAAATCCGATGAACCGGCTAGGAGACGGCATTAACGGGCGCGAGTCGAAGTGGATCAATTACCGCAATCTCGCAACTCGGGAATGGCCGGGGGAACTTTATCGTTGTTGTTTTCTAAGCTCATTGGAATCGATGAAGATTGCCGAGTGACATTCCTGTTGCTGAAACTACTCCCCAACGTAAACTTTCGCACAACGTGCCGCTCTGCGCGACACTTTCGCGCGGAACTTCGAAGTTTGACAAGCGGAAGATATATCCTTGAAAGGTGAGAGGCGGCACTGCTCTTAAGTGATTGCCCAGGAATGGTCCGCTCGTTTGTGAATGGAACGGTAGCCGAACTTAGCTCGAGAAACTAGCAAACGCGGAACCTTATATTACTGCGAGTGCAATTAGTTACTAAACTGCTTTACTCCGCCGCCCGTCTGTCCTCGGACTTCATTTCGCTGTCGTAGGTAGGAAATATTTCGATCATCTCTGTCCCCTCTTATTTCCTCTCTTTCTACCAAAGCTCCTCGATCGCTACTCGTCTACTAAGTCCCGATTGTACCAAGTATATTTCTCCGAGCGGTCTCGCTCGCGAAGAGGAACATATTACGCGCATGCGAGTGATATGTTCCCGACGATGAAAGCTGCGTATTAAAAAAGAGAGAGAGAGAGAGAGAGAGAGAGAGAGAGAGAGAGAGAGCGCGCGCGCGAAGTGTCCACTTTATTGCCGCGGTAATGGACAGGGACGCGATGCGCGCAGCGGCGAGTTGAAGGGGAATTCGGAAACGACCGCTAAATCCCTTGGACTAACTGTCCTTCGTCATGTAAGTGAACAACGGCGGTGGCGATGGGACTTCGAAACATGTTCCGTCCATTTTCGTAGTTTTCAGCGGATTAGCCCGATCGACGGCGGCGGCTCGCTCGATATTTAGTTTCGCCAAAATTGCCGTTTGTTCTACAAACGCGACGTTTGTAAAGTGTCGTAACATTGGAAGTAGACAGATTGGCCGCTCACTTTCGGGGTTCCACGGAGAACGTAACTATAAATAGCGATTTCGCTTTATCAGCGGCCGGGATACCTCCAGTATCACGTGATAAACTACTTGTGCGCGGTTTTGGTATCCAATTCCCCGTTACAAGGTCGATATATTCGGAGTTAACTTCCGTGGTCCGCGACATCAACGTATTACGTTATATTATTACATGTCGCATTAACCTAATCTTCATCTCCCTTTTCCATTCTGCCTCTCTCTCTCTCTCTCTCTCTCTGCACCTCTGTTCTCTCTGCTGTTCCCGCGGGACTAAGACGCGATGCGACGAGAGAATGGTATCGCAACATTCGACGCTATTGCTTTGATGTTATAGCGCCAGCTTTTCCAGTGCATACGCATAAACCGCCGCTAAATCACCGCGGCAATAAATTCGATATCACCGTTCCCCGATGGATCCCCGATTGAACCAAAACATTTCGGTTCCACTTTGGCGAAACCATTTTTCGTTTAAATTCTCATCGAAACCCGTATATTTATGGACGGCACGTCGATACAACCGGCACAAAACACACCAGATTTACGATTAAAGTCAGTCCGAGAGTGGCTGACGCGGGTGAAATCGGTCATTTTGTCACAACGCGCGCGCCGAAGGAAATTCGGCCGGAAAAAGAGAGCGCGTTTTAATTTCGCGTAAATTCCGCCCGATAATCAGAGTTTGAAGCCGTCATCCGGCAAATTTCGTAGAGGGTTGTGCTGAAAGGAAATGTATAATCGAATCATACCGTTACGCGCGCACATGCGCACGCACGCACGCACGCACGCACGCACGCATATTCCTCAATATGTAACAATTTCGCTTCCTTTTTTTCCAATTCCGCTTTACACGCGACCGTGTTATAAATAACATCGGACGGAATTGATAGCGAAATGGTTGTGGCGGCATTCTTTATGCTATAGCGCGCACAGCCGTGCGCGGTGCGTGATGCGTAGTATTGTCGCGCGGAAATATTTTTCTACATCGTAGGAAACACGCGTACATGTAGCTCCGCACCGGCGATGTACTCGATGCCATAATCGAAATACGAAATTGCGATCTCGAGCGAAGGCTCGATTCTCGCGAAGCACACGTGAATCGCACGCGCGCAAAGAAGCAGCGTGTCACGAGCATGCGGTGAGGCCGCAACCGATTATTTCTTACGCTCTTCTCTCCCGATATTGTGCTCTCGCGCACATCTTTAATTGAGCGAGCGTGAGAAATAACGAGTCGAGTCGATCAACGTGTGCATTCGTGTGTCGGCAGAACGGCGTATCTCGTTCTCGTACTCACCTTGCCGAAATTCGAGAGACCACCGATTTGAGGCACTTGACCGGGTTCATCCGCCGTGCTGCAGTCTGCCCTAACGAACCAACAGGTCAGTAACTCAGTGGCGACAATCGTGAGCGTTATTGCAATAGGATTCCCTCTAATCACAGGTTTCCACGCCCGTAATGCTAACGATAACGGCAATGGTATTATTCACAGGACGGCGGCTCTCGCGCGCCGAACCCCACAATAGATAGGTCGCAATCATATCGCACAACCGACTCGTTTCCATTTCGCATGATCTCGGCAATATTTTGCCGCGCGTCTCCATTGAATTCGCGTTACGCGATATCGTTCGTTAGTCTAGCGCGATGCAGGTACCGCGAGGAACAAATTCCAAGGGTATCTCGATACCTCGAGACGCGGCTTCGTCCTCATGATGACGTGCTTTTGCTCGAACAGAGAGAGGATAAAGGAAATGCAAACGGAGGAAACGCGGAAAGGATAATCGCGCGCGGAGCACGGCTTGCCGACATGATTGCAGATCATAAAACAAGAAACGTTACACGCTACGGTTATCTCGATTTTTTCTAAATTGATATATATATATATATATATTTTTTTGTTTGTTTTTATCAAACCGGATCAGGTCAGGCGCGCGGCGGTTCAGAGAATTGGAGAGAAACGAGAAGCTGTAATCGCCTTACGGTTCTATTAGATCTAAAAATCGAGGTCAACTGCGCGTATAATGTCTCTTACCGGGCGTTGTAAACCTGCTTGTGTGCGCGTGCGCGCGGAATAAACAATTGAAGAAATTATTCTATCGACCGCCCCTCCCTCCCCTGCCCACCCAGGGGTACCTCCATTTCTCATGTGTAATTGTATTTCTCCGTGGCCATTGTAAATTAATAAGCGCATTTTCTGCGCGACGTGATGTAACGTTAATTGGATCCCGTTGTGTAATGCGCGAGTAAACGACATTCCGTGTGACGGCTTTCACGTGAAAGGGAGCGGGATATCAATTTCTGTGTGTGTCAACGCTGCCTGCACTGACGAGGCAGGGGGCAGGCGAGGAGGGAGGAGGGAGAAGTAGGCCTCTTTCTGAAAGTTTCCCCGGGGGGAAGCCATTTTCCCCGATGTTACACACGACCTCTTTTTGCGGCGGCGCGTATATCGCGTAACGCGCGTTCCGATTCTCCTCGGGCATCTGGCCGAGACACATCTGATCGCGATAACAATTGACGAGATGGGCGGAGGAGGGGGGACTGCCACAGGGATGACGGGGTGCGGTAGGGCGGGGGAGTTAAATATCTCTCATGTAGATGGGATTATGCGAGACATACGACGAGCTTTAGGCGTTGGCTGGAGGACTCGAGGTAATACCACGCTGACAATCGTGTGCATTAGTGCCGCGTCCTCTAAGCCGTCGAATAGAGCAATGATGCGGCGACGGCGACGGCGGAGGCGGCAGTAATAATGGTAACGATAATCGATAACCGAGCGGTCGGCGCTCGTGTACCTTCGACTCCGGGATCGACGGAGTTTCGGCCGCATCGCCGGATTTAATCGCGAACGAACCAGCGACACGCGCCATTAAATCACTCGTCTCTCCGCGCGGCCGTCGGCTTTCCCTTTCGTTCGCGCGAGCCTTGCTCGCGCGGCCCGTCGGACATCCTCCCGAACGCCACTCGATCGAACTTCATCGCGCGGCTTTTGACAGGGTCTCGTGGCCCGCGTGACCGCGATCTCGCGAATTTATCATCGCCGCGTACAGCGGAGCGCCGTAATCGCCCTATCTGTTCCGCGAGGGCGAAACGCCGAACGTTCCGCCGAACAAGCGCGTATAATATTGTTATAACGATGCGCATTAATCCGCGCGGGATTTATCACGTTGCCCGCGACGATTTAATTGCCGCGGATAAGCAAGCCGAGCAATATGTGTGAAATATGTCGATATCGGTCGGCCTTGCTCCGCGGGAATAAATTACGACGGCCGTCGCAACGTGGCGCCGTGTTCTTTTTTCTCTCTTTATTTTTTTTTATTCTTCTTTTTTTTTTTTTTTCGTATCGCGACTTTTCCCTGCGCGTATTTCCTCCCGAGCCGCCGGTATTATTCTTAGGCTGGGTTAAATACACTCATAAATAAGCCGAGCGAGCTGATCGCCGTCTCGCGTGTTTCTCATTATACGCCGTACGTAATGCGGCGCTCGCGACGACGAGGGTTGTTATTCGTCGAAATGGCCTGGGATTCTCCCTCTCTCTCTCTCTCACGCGGCAATGCGGTCACGCTTTCGCGCAATCGGCGGCGTCTCGGCTGATTTTTCAGCTTCTCGACGAGACCGATGTGACGAAGGCGAATTCGCCCGATGTGAGAGAGAGACCGCGAGCGCCGGTAATTTAATCTTGGAGCGGCTTCTTCGCGGCGAACCGTGCTGTTATCACGACAGGAGAATTTCGCTATTATCGTTATATTGCTCGGAATATTAATTGACTGGGATGCCCCCGCGTGCCCCGTCGTTTTTTCGATAAACATCTTTGGCGAGGAGATTTACGAGGTAGCACGGTGGATCGACGGCTCGGAGGGAAAAAAGGGATACAAGTCCATCTTCGTCATAAGCGCGATAACGTGGCGGAGATCGATCTATAATAGAGCAACGAGTCCTGGCTGGCGACGTCGTAAAACAGAGAGCGGTGCTATAAAAACGACGGCCGAAGCTTGGCAGCTCAGAGATAGATAAATCAGCTCGTCGTCAGCGGCGACTCGCTATGCGGCGCACGATGCCCGCCGGAGTGCGTTCGAAAAGTTTTTTATTGCGACCTTCCCTCGCGATTCCGTCTCGTAAACGATCGTCGCCTACTCTCGAATTCGTCCATTGTGTCCCGAAGTCATATTTCTACGGTGCATTTGCTTCGGCGGCGGCAGCTGTAGCCGACGACCTGCAACCTTTTCGTAATCTGGCGCACGCTGCCCGCTCGATACTCCTCCTCTCGTTACGAGAAACAAAACAACTCAGAGTTTAGAGAAAAAAAAAGAAACAAGCGCGCCGCCATAGATTACTGGGTTACTTTTGTGAAAACGCGGGTGATTGCAGCGCGCTAAAATCGCGCGCTCGCTTTACAGGGCGCAGCTTTATCCGGCGAAAATACTGAAAATGGAGACTCCGCGAGATTCTTCTTCTCCCTTTTTCCTTCTTTTTCCGCGTAGACACGTGTGAAACACTGCCGTTCCATTCGCACGAAGCGGAAGCGTACAGGCTCGGTGTCAAATCTAATGAAACATCATCGGTGCAGCGAAATTATTTCTCTTTGCGGGAGGGAATTATACAACGCGCTTCTCGCGTTCGTCACAAGGCAATATCGTCGAGATATCATCGTGTCATGAGACAGCCGAGTCGCGTCTCGTCGCTCTCTGTTGTGACTTAAAATCATCCGGATATTATCGACGCGTAACGGGAGCGCGGCTGTTGCGTGAGCGACGCTCGCGCGAAGAATATTTGCAGCGCAAAGAGTTCAAATCCGCGGGGCTGGAAAAGTCCGAGCGTGCAGCGTCGGACACGGCAATCGCCATTTCTTTCGCTTTAGTAGCGAATAACCGAAAGGTAGCACGCACGCTCATGCGAATTTCGCGGATTACTGCCGCCGTCCTCCACCCCCCCCCCCTCCTCCCCGCCCCTCCCGTCGATCTTACGATCGGCGCGCGAGCCATTACGCGGGACTTTAATCCGTTTACGCGAAACGTTTCACCGGTGCCGGTCGAAACGATATCTTTTAATGACCGGGAAATGAACGAAAGCGGACGGCTTCGTATTACTAACGGCCGCTACCTCGCCGCGCGGCCCGCGCGAATCAAGAGTTCCGCTTCGATCGACCGAGCGACGCACCTCGGTGCGTCCATTTTTAACCGGACTGGCCTACAGAATTCGACGTGTAATCGCCGTTTACGCAATCGTCGGCGCTCCGTCTTTATTTCGGTTTTTCACCGACCGGACGAGCGCGGCATTCAGCGGAGGAGGATGAGGGAGGGACGAGGCGGTTGCACAACGTCCATCGTGGTTACATTATCGCCGATCGCCACTCTCCCTCCGCCACCCTCTCGCTCATCGGATATATATCGCGGGCGTTAACGTTTTACAAAGCGACACAGCGCGCAGAAAGGATCATCAGCGTGTACTGTGCCCGCAGAGCGCTCGCGCGCGCTCACGCTCGCGTGTCACTCGATAATTGAATAAAGAAAAATAAAATTCGCCTCGAGTCGCGCTCGCGCGCGCGCGCGCGCGGTCCCGACATTGAAGAGTCATCGCGGCCGACAGCGCGCAATTTTTCATTCTTAATCAGATCGCGCTTGGCGCTTTTAACGCGCTGATATGCCAAATGGATTTATTGCGGCGCTCGCGCACAGCGCGTGCACTTTGCACAAGTCAACGCGATTAGAGCATTAAGCTCGCGCGCGCGCGCTACGGTGACACAACGACGTTTAACGAAATTGCAACTCGCGACTCTCTGCCGCGGCGCTCTTTCCGCCGCGCGCGTACGATTCGTCCCATAAGGTCGCGTTCCCTTCCTCCTCCCTTCCCTGCCCACCTCCCCCCCTGCCCCGTTGCCCGAGCCGCTTCTTATTTCTGTCGGCACACTCACCAAGGCGTGTTGCACGTGTGCGTGAGGGTGAGATACCTGGCGCCCAGCTCGTACAGCATCCTCAGCACCGCCAGACTCGTCCCAACGGCATGGCCGCCCTCGACCCCTATCAGGCTCGCTAATCTACCCTCCTTGTGCGCCTTCTCGATACCTGGAACCATACATTACAACTTACTTCGCGTACGCTCGCCCGCCCCCGCCTACCTGACTGCCGTCGTATTTCACGCGGCCTTTACAGCGTGAATTCGGATATCGCAGCCGGCTGCGATCTCCCTCTGTTCCGTTGTCATTCCCGACTAGAAATTTATCCCTTATGGTCTTGATCAGGTTAACCTCATTTGGACATCAGGTCCCAACAAGGTAATACTATCGGGTCCTAGAAAGTCATGTAACGCAGCGTGGATATCAGGATCTTAGTAAGGATTCGTAGTCAGGTCCTTATTGAGTTACCTTGTGGAATCCTTGTTACGTTTTTTTTTTTTTTTTTTCTTTTTCAAATTATGGCTCCTGATTACCCGCCACGGCTACATTGGATGATGACATTAGAAATAAGAAATGACACGCTGAAAATTCTTTCATGTCATTTCCGGATAAAAAGATATTTTGCATGAAGTAATATTTTAGATCGCTTGAGCATACTTGTAAAATGTTTCGGAAAAGAAACATAAAATGAATATCATAAGATCATTAAGTTGTCACAAGGTGACAAGACATGAAGTAGTATTAAAGAGAAAAGTTGCATGTCACGTTAATTTTACAACTATTTATTGACTGCTAAAAAAAGGATTTAAAGTTTATACAGCATTTTACAAATATATTCAAGTGATCCGAAGTGCTTTTTCAATGCAAACATCTTTATATTTGGAAATGACACCCAAAAATTGTTTTGTTAAAACTTGATAATGCAAATCATCGTATTAGGTACAATGAATAGAATCCCGACAAGGACCTGATTAACTGAACCATATTATATCGTACACTAGGTTAGTACATTAAGGTCCTAATGTGGACCCAATCATTATAACCTTATAAAGGTTCCTTCCTTATTCATTTGCCGTTAGAACATTACAAGGACTGACTTACTTAGGATTACCTTTCATTCGCCCTATCAGGTATCCTTGTCAGTGTTAGGTGAACCTGATGAAAATTTCTAGTCGGGTTATCCGTTGCCTGTTCCACGACCCACACTTCGCACACGTACGACCGATCAGCCGGAGAGGGTGGACTCCTAGCGGATTTTCGCGAGTCCCAAAAATCCCGGACGGCTCGTGCGCATTCTGATTCCGCGTCGGCTCGTTAACGAAAAAGCGAGCTTCAACGAGAAGTCTCGGTATCGTCCGCTGATGTTTCACGGCGAAATAAGCTCGCTCTTGCGAGGCCGCGCACGTAACGCAAGACGAGTAACGCGCGTGAATAAACGAACCGCGGTGATGCCATGTCGGCGAAGTTTCGGCCGCGTCGACGATAAGTAACGTCGAGCTACGCGCTCTAAGTGGTATCCGAAAGTTTGCGAATTCTCTCGTCTCGTCGGACGGTATCGAAAACAGACGGTGGTGGCGTTTCGCCGCGCGCGGTCACGCTCTCCGGAATCGCCGGTGCGGAAATACGGTCGCGGGAAAACGCACTTGGCCGCAATTTCCGATACTTCCCCGGCCTTTCCCCCTTTCGTTGCCCGCCTTTTACCCGCGGCCTTCTGCCGCGCGCGTAAACAACGCGAGTGCGAAATTCAATTATACGCCGCGTACAATGCGCCACGTGGGCGCAGGCGCGCGCGTATTATAATTAAACGAGCTTATCCGATGTCTCCGATCTTCGGATTAATTAAACCCTTCAAATTGCTCGTCGTTATCGAGATCGTTGGGTCGCGAGGATCGTTAATTACAAAGCGTAAATAAAAGTTAATTAACTGCGCCGCCGGCCCGAGCGGCCGAGAGCGGCGTTCGTTCGCTCGCTCGTTCGCGCGCAAGTCGATCGTGGGGGAAGAAAACCGTCGCCGATGACTCTAGTGGCGGAGTTCCTCTTAATCAGCGGGTAATCAGGCATTTTGTCGACGTTCCGCGGATCCAATCCGCGATGTTTAATCGCTTAATCGAATCCGATGGCGCGGCGCCGGGTCTGGCCGGCGGTGTCGGAAAATCCAATTTCGCGGTCTGCCGATCGCATTCGGATACCTCGTCGGGCTACACCGTGCCGGATGAAGCGCCTTGCGTGTCAATACGTTCGCACAGTGTATTGCGTGTGTTTGCACCTACCGTCTGCGCTTACACGAGCGCGTTTATTCGAGCGCGACGCGGAATTCTATTTTTCTCGTGCGAATTCTTATTGACCGTTCGAGCGTGCTTCGCCGTCGCGTTACACCGGCGAGTCGTACCGACGAGTTTGATATAAAAAAGAAAAAGAATGAGAGAGGGGAAAAGGGAGGTGGAGAGAGCGCGCCCCGACGTAATTTATCAACCAATTACAAAGAATTTGCGGCGGCTAGGCGTAAGTAATACAATTTGATACGCCGACGACAGATTACCGCGTCTCTAAAAATATCGTTCGATGCGGTTAATATCGCGAAAGCGGTAACCGGAATACATAATACAACCTGTGTGCTGTATCGTTGTACAATATACCCGTGTATATATTTTTAATATAATCACACCGTGCCGTCCACACCCACACACCCACACTCGCGCATCGCCGCCGTAAGCGATCAATAAATTGAAAAGCTCGTTCAGATAGAATTGGCACGCGCGCGCGCGCGCGCGCACGGCTTTTTGGAGATGGTCGGATTTTGAAACTCGCCGAGGTAAGCCGAGAGAAACGAATGCACTGCGCTAACGCGACGCTTTAGAAAGAGAGGGAGAAAGAACGCGGGAGGGACGCGTCTTTTTCGATGGAAAACATTTCCCACGCCGCTGAACGTGCGTAACATCGTCGTCGATAAATTACGATTCCCCGGCGCGCCATCGTGAGTTTGCGGGAACAGAAGTTGGCGAATACGGGAGAGGACGGCTGTTTCCGGAATCTGCATAATTTTTAAATGTACAATCTCGTTTTACGAGACGATGGCACCGCGTCGGGTGCCGTCTTCCAATATAGTCCCTCTCTCATATATGAGAACTTCCGATTTCGAGCCACGTCGATTCGAATCACTCGGTCGTAGCTCGGTCGTAGCCGTTCCTCGGCCGCTTTCCACTCGATTCCCTTTTACCGAGCAAAAAGCTCGCCGGTGCATTTTCCTTCGAGTGCACGTAAAGCCCCGCGGTCGCAGTCGCGGTAAATCAAACGCCCGTCGCGGCCGTGTCATTTGTCGTGACGCGGCGCGGCGGCTTTAATTTTTCCCCGCTGACGTGGCCGGCCGATTACGTTGTATTACGGCTTATAATGGACGAACGGTCGAAAACGGAGCCGCGCGGGAATCAAACGCGTGCTGCCGATGGCTCCTGATTTAGTGCGCCGCGCGATTTATACTTTTGCACCCAGCCGCACGTAACGCTGATACATTTGATCCTGCGAATGTATCGGTTCGTGGGTCTTTGCGCGGCTGTATGCGTGTACCTAGGAGAGGCGAGGTGTGTGTGTGTGTGTGTGTGACTCGCACGTATTACACACAGACATACACTAAGAGAGAGAGAGAGAGAGAGAGAGAGAGAGAGACCGGAGCGCTTCGATGTTATCGGAGAGGCTACGGCACGGCAAGAGCGCTCCATGGTTTCAGAACATTCTTCCATTTCTCGCGGAATTTCTCATCTTCCACGTTCTAGCGGCGCCCTTTCTCCCATCTGGCAGATTGCTTCCCCAAAGTGCTATATTTTGTACTCGCCCGTCGCGCGTCGCGTCGGGAGCTCTCTTTCGCGCCCGATCTTCTTTCTCGCTCGGCGGAGATAACGCGCTACTGATGCCCATGAAATTTGCATGTTCCCGAAAAGAGACGGGCGCGCGACTCGCTCTGCGACGACCTGCGCGATCCTTCGTCTTTCATCAACATACACGTAATGCAGGCCGAATGCGAAACGGCGGGAGTCGATGCTCCCGGGAGGAGAGGCGCGAATGAAGAACGCGCGTCGCGCGTGTTCGTTTTTAAAGCAGTCGAGGAGAGAACGCAACGTCGACCTGCAAACTTCGACGGCCGGGGAAGGCCGCTTGAAGGGAAAAAAATTACGTCACGCCCGAGGACTTGATTACAAGTGTCGCGAGGGGAAACGTACATTCCTCTCGCCGAGCGTGCGATTCCCCGAAGATACGCTCGATATTTCCGAACAACGCGCGGAAACGCGCGCGAAATTACGGCCGGGCTTCTCTGAAAATACCTCGGCCTTTTAATCAGCGACGAAAAAGTCGCGCGACCGCTGTGTCCGCCGGGAGGGAATACGACAGACAGACTGTCGGTTTCGTACAATCAGCTGTTCGTATGTATGAACGTACGTATGCGTATTTTATGTTCATTTACATATGCATGCGAGCGAGTGCGCGAGCGTACGAGCGGGCGACCGACCGACCGACCGAACGAACGAACGAACGAACGAACGAACGAACGAACGAACGAACAAATGGGGGCGGCATGCTTGTGCAGTCGTCGACGTCCGGAGTTATCGAACTTGCGAGGGCGGTGGGCTGGCACCGGACCGACATTTTTCGATTCCGCCTGGAATGTACCAGCCGGCGCATCTCCTTCGTGTTCCATCATCTTGCCAACAGATTTGCGTTACGCTTAAACAGCGGCGCATTGTGACAGCGGCGGGCGCGGCGGAATCCGACGGCAAATATTTGCTCACCAAATATAGGAGTATTTTCTAGGAATTCGTGGCGCGTACATATATACATATATACATATATATATATATATATACATCCTCGCGAAATATGATGCATTAGAAATAATAGAGAGGAGCAGAGAGAGAGAGAGAGAGAGAGAGAGAGAGAGAGAGAGAGAGAGAGAGAGAGAGAGAGAGAGAGAGAGAGAGAGAGAGAGAGAGAGAGAGAGATGCGCATACAGCCGGGGGAGCGCGACGCTGCATAGCCAGCACGTCCGGAGATTTCGTATTTTATCTCCCCTTTTTTCTTGTTCGATGTAAAAACGCGGAAAAGTGTTTGACGCTCGTTCCGCCGGAGTTGGGGTATTTGTGAAATGTTTGCGTCATCGAACGCTCTCCGATCTATATTTAATGATATAGATGCGCGCTCGAAATAGGTCCTCTTCTCGCTGTTAATTTTCTCAAATAACTGTCACTCGACGGCTCCCATCGTGCGTAACATCGCCAAGTGACTAAAAATACGACGAGATTTTTGCCCGTAATGTCGCTGATCCTTCATCCGGCGGGAATGTTTATTTTATTCGTTTTTCTGCCGGAATTTCTCTCTTGGTAATTTCCGCCTTTGCAGGGGAAAGAATGGCACAGTCGTTTGCCATAGTATTAATCTCGATAAACGTCTCCGCGCAACGGCGGGCGATACGTCCCTGTCTGGGGATACACGCATGAAATGGAAGTTAGTCGATAAAGCGGCGCTATTTACCGCGACTGTCCGCGTTCTTTTTCTCGTTTTCGCGACGTCGCAGGTTCATCACGGCGCTGTCGTTGTCGTTGCCTTTTTCTGTCCTTTCTTCGATCCGCTGATTTTTCCACGCTCTGTAGGAAAACTCGCCCAAGCGCCGCGCGTTTACGGCCTGTAGATAATGCTTGTTATATTCAAACGTCAGGATTATAACTGCGAAAACACGGTTGAAATATTTTCACAGAGCCGTGTTTTCCGCGATGAGTCATTTATGCGAACGTTATAAATGAAGATGAATGACTTTTCTACCGTCGAGCTTGAGAAATAAATTTTACAATTCTGCAATTCTTTTTGATGAATTTCGAGCAAGACTGTATTTTTTTGCTCTCTCTCTCTCTCTCTCTCTCTCTTGCTCACAGTGTCGGTGTCATTGCCCGAAGGGATTAATAAAAATAAAAAAAAGTACCAGACTAGAAAAACATTAAAAGACAAAAATCCGTAGGTTGGTCCGCCGTTTGTTGATATGATGAATATGGAGCGATTTGCTACGTGCAGATCCACGTGCGAATATAGTCTGTGAGAAATATGCGATCAAAATATTATTGATGCGACACCGTCGCGTCGCCGCCGTGCTTATCCGCGCACCGACGTGGCGCGGACTGTCGTAACTCTCAGATTTGTCATCGGATTAATAGATTCCTTCCGCTTCTCTCACGGACTGGACTGTCTTTCGGCGGCTTCGGTGTGCGGCGGCGCGACACGTGTTTGCGCAGAAAAAGTCCCATCTTTTCCGTGTAGGACTTCCGTCGCTAAAAACGGAAGATATCCGATACCAAGGAAGTGCTTCCGCCAGAAATCGATCTTGTTACGCTCTCGCGCTTTTCGCTCTTCTCCCCTTGTTTCTCTTCTAATTTCCTTTTGTGGGACCTCGCACCTGGAGGACTCGGTTATTCGCGGCCCGGAATGGATTTGGTGGGGTCGAAAATGAAAAGCGCTTCTTACGCCGAAGGAGCGATTGCTCGTTTTTCGAGACCACCCCTGTCGCGCTCCTAAAGTGCATTTTAAATTTCTGAAAAGAAGTCCGCGGCGCCAAGTTGACAGGAGGAAGCGACGCGAAGAACGAGACAACAAACGCACGAACGAACGAACGAACGAACGAAAACAAACAGATACCGCGTCGCAAGAAATTCCGAATGCGACTCGTGCGAGAAGTGGATAATGCGCGATTCGGCAACGAATATTTAATACTGTCTGGCGATTCGCCGGTTTTAAAAGCCGTAGCGGCAGCAGCGGTGAGCACATGCTGCAGACGACACATTTCCGGTTGGCGAGGGGTGTCGGGGGAGGAGGGTGGAGGGACCGACGTTTCAGCTATGCTTTTATTCTCGCGAACATCCATCAACACGCGAAAAATGCGAGACACGGAGATTACGCGGAGGAGGTCGGCGCTCGCGCGCTCGCACGGACGTGGATAACAACCGGCGGGAGGATTTCATAGGAGGGATCTGGAAATCTGTGTGCCCGGACGGGCGAGCAGAGCCTACGAGCATCGCCCATGGGGGACCTCGTCTCCGCGTTGGCTTTAAAATATCGCCGGGGCCCCCTCCCCCCGCGCCGCAGAGCGGACGGATTGATATAGCGTGCAATTATGCAAGATTGATCCAGTGCGGAGTAACGCATTAATCTTCGGCCGAAACTCGGATTATCAAGTAATATGGCCGGCATTAAAGGGTTAAGTGGAATATTCATTGTAATCCGAGGCGAATAAATTCCCGCCGGTCGAATGAAAAATAGCGGCCGTTTCAAATTGATGGCCCTCCCCCCTCCCCCCCGAAAGTTCTGCCGCCCGCGGAGTCCGCGCGCCGCCGTTTTTTCCCGCTCCGGCCGGTGCTGCTCGATCGAAAGAATTTGAAGTATTGTACCGGAGTTGTGCGTGCGCGCGCGCGCGAGAGAGAGAGAGAGAGAGAGAGAGAGAGAGAGAGAGAGAGAGAGAGAGAGAGAAAACTCGATCTCCCGCGATCGGCTGGCCGTGCGCCAAATGTATCGGGACGACGAATGTTCCGAATCCTCGCGAGCCATTACCATCACCCCCTCCCCCCGCATCGCCGTCGACTCGCGAGACGCTTTTAGCGCGTCTCGACTGATATCTCGTTATGCGCTGTTCCGCGATTGGAGAGTTCGAATTTCGCCTTACGAAGACGCGTACCTTCCGCCGTGGTGACGAGGACCATGCTCTCGGGATGCTTGTTGACCAATCGACGAATGAGGTCTATCTGTTCCAGCGCCAGCTGCACCGAGTCGAGATGCTGCGACGAGCAGGGTACATACGCGGACCAGAACTGCAACAGAAAGAGAGAGAAACGGGCGGTTACGGTGAGTTCTCAGGCGACATTCGTTCCGTTTTACACGCGTTTGCTCGCTCCGTAAATAAACGGTGCGCAGTTGCTGAGCTTTCCGATAGCGAGCTCTTTCCGATATATAATATTTGCGGATTTTCTCATATTTACCGCGAAAACTTCCCCGACCTAGCGTCACCCTAAGCCGCGCGCGCGCGCGCGCGCGCGCGATAAACCGATCGCCGAGCGGAACCCGTTCCGTCGGTGCGTTACACACAGGAAAATTCGATATCAATGAACTCCATCGGATTCATTATGTTAATTACGCTCGTAGCCGCGAAGCCAAAATCGCTATAAAAAGAACGCTGCGATTTATCATCGCGAGGGATTACCTATTGAACATTGCCGAGCGCGCTCGGGCGGGGCGGGGTTACTCGCGTTTAAAACGCGATAACGTTTAATCGCATTCGTATTCTAATTACGAGGAATTTCTGACACACATAATACTCCGGCTTATAATACCCGGCATCTGATAACGCTAGGAATAATTAAATGCATATTACGATAGTCTACAAACACGGGACGATTTGCATTTTAAATAACCGGCTATCGCTCGCCGCCGATCGTAAATAACGGAAACTTTAAGAGTCCCCCGTCGCGATGCATTCAGAGCGGGAATACGTACGAACGGACGGACGAACTACCGGGGCTCTCCCACCCCGGAATAATTTCGTCGAGTGCAACGTGTCCTTTTCTCTCTCAAGGTTACGCCGCACGACATGTAAGCCGCGTAAGTCGCACAAAAAATAACCGGCTGAGAGACTTCGGACAAGACGCACACGAGAACGAGAACTCGCGGCGCGACTCACGGTTTTTCCCTCCGTCTTTTTAACGGTCACGCGACGTCGTCCCGCGCGATGCAATTAGCTCTCTTTCGCTCGTTATGACGTCCGTCTGACGTTACGCGGCTCTTACAGTCCTCCGCGGCCGTTCACTCCGGCGAAACTCCCGCGCCGATTCTCTTCCTCCTGCTTCCGTCGTGTTTTCGCTTTGCTCTCACGCGACGCGTTCTTCCCTTGACCTTCCTCCTCTCTTTTCCTTTCTCTCGCCCTCTCTCTCTCTCTCTCTCTCTCTGTCTCTATCTCTCGAAGGAAACGAGGAAACGCGATTAAAGTGAGTTAATAAATTCCTAGCGAGAAAAGCGGCTGATCCCGTCGGACGATGACACCGTCGGAAGTAGGAAATGAGAAACATTAAGCTCTCGCACCCCCGTCGGAACGGCGCGATGTCTTACTTTAGCTACGAATTTTCCGCATTATGCACAAGTGCTCGCACCTCGACCGGCAGCGACGGCGGCGCACGTCGGCGAGAAGTTTTATTTAACAATGCGGGGAAAATTTATGCCCGGGGCGTGAGGTTGCCGTCCCGGCGGCCGTAAATCAACGTACGAAGGAGCGTATGCGAGGGTGTATATCCGGTTTTTCTTGTCTCCCCGGTCTCGCCTTCGCTCGATGGGAATAGCGTTTGGCGACTCGCGGAGGCGCGGCGGGAGCGTCGTTAATAGAGACGACTTTAATCGGCCGCGTCGCCCGCGACTGTAATTACCTTCGGAACGTCTGTATCTCGAGTGCTTCAGCGGCTTTCGCGGCGCGTCGGCTAATTGCGACACGCAAATAATTCAACGGCAAGCGGCAAGCTGCTGCTTACAGACGCGGGAGACGTCGGGGCGTGGGACGAGGGAAACCTTTAACTCGTAATTACTTTTGTACAACTACTTGGGTAACTACTCGCGGCGAGGTATCGCCGAAAAGAAGCTCGCGCGCCGTCGTCGCGTCGTGTGCGTCGTGTGGCGTATTTGACGAGTTTCGCGTTTGCGGTGCCGTTTGCGAAATTTCGATTCGGCGTTTTCAACTCTGCGAATTCACGTTTGCAACGTGAGGAGAGAGTCTCGGGAAATGCAACTTTGTGTGTAGGTGGTGATCCTTCGTATATTTCGCAGATTTTCTCCACGTTGAGTCTCGCGGAAGGATTTCTTTAATTTTCCATTTTCTCAATATTCCGCCTGTGTTCGATTTTTATTCCCAATCTCAATGAACAGTCAATTATACAATTCATTCAGGATATTGCGGTAAGCAAATATCGAATAACTATCAATATAAATAAATAAGGAGGTCAGTGGATAAATTGAAACAAGACATTTTTTCTCACTGAGAGAAATATCCGAAATATCCGATTGTTAATTTCGTTATCCGATCAAATATCCGGTATATTTAATCGGATATTTGATCGGATAACAAAATTAACAATCGGATATTTCTGATATTTTTCTCCGTGCTTTCTATAATTTTCTTCTTACTACGCTCTGTTATTGACGTTTGGGCTTTCGATGGAATTTAGAGAGCTCGAAAGGAGCGAAACGGAAGGAGTTCTAAGAAGCGAATACCGTTCTAGGAATACAAATTGATATTTTTATAACGTTCGTCATTGGCGGTCGACGGCAAGTGCGAGGACTTGTTTTGCCGATTGTTTTGATTCTTACGCGTGTCGCCGCGACCTTCTTCGCGACTGAGTCATTGCGTCCCGAGCCGACGAGAGAGACACACACACACGTCGCGGCGCGGTGCGCGTGTGTCGGTAAGTCGTCATTGCGCATCGAAGTATTCGCGGATTATCGAGACTCCTTATAATCGGGCTCTATCGAAATCTTTTGTTCGCCTCCGCGGCGGCTGGATGTGGTTCCCGTAACTACGCATATTTCTTATCTTGGGGACTGCGTACGCGTTGTCTCTGTTTCTCTTTTATTCGCAAAATCGTTGCGATTGGCGTAAGAGAAGGAGTGTTGTAATAACTCTGCTCAGAGCCATATATTGATTGAATCAGTGAATAATCGGGCTCTCACGCATTAGCGTCGCATTAACGCGTGTCTTGCGATCGAATCGTGCGAATCGTGCGGAGTGTCAATGAGTGGCCGGAAGCACAAAGCATCGCGGGCAACGGGATCGCGAGAAGCCAGGACGAAGGATATAAAAAATACCACGGCGCAGGCAGCGATATACGTCGTACATTTCCCGCTGCGTGAAATCATTGCGCGACACGTGTGTGTCGGTACGTTCATCACTGCCGTTGGTTCTTCAAACTTTTCTTAGAATCTTAAATCGGGTCCTCGCGTCGGCAGCGCGTCTCATTTAACATTCGTCTTCTGAGTCGTGTTTACGCGAGTGTTAGTGTCAGTGTCAGTGTCACGGCCACGACCTGGAGTAGACCTGGAACAACCGACAGCAGGGCACGCCGGATGCGCGAAGTGATACATCGTACGTTGCCAGGTACGCGAAATCATTTGTTATAATTTAGCGAGAGCAAGAGGATACTCCCTCGAGTCGAAATGCAGGTTAACATCCCGTGGACTGTCGTTATTTTTCGACAAATGGTCGTTGTTTCGTGAATCTCTGATTACTGTTCAATCCGCACTGTAGACAGCCTGCGAACAGCAGAAATAATGGCTGAATACGAATCTGCGGTTAATTACGTTCTCAATCAAAGATTGTACATTATTCATGGCTATCAGTGCAGTTCTTACGATTCTAGCGTATCTCACAAATTGCTAATTCGTATGTTTAACGATGTTGCTTTGTGCTCGCGCGTCTAATAATGTTGATTCATGTGTTTGTGAATTCCGTTTGCGTCATGTTTTGAATTTTCCAATGCCCCACTTTTTGTAAATATATCGCGCTACATTGGTCTCTCAAATTCGACGTAATTTGCAGGATTAAGGGGACTGGAGGGTCAGATCGCTGAAAAATCGTGCTTGTTTTTCACAATATTTTCTGACGAGCTGAATAAATGTGCAAGAATGAAAATTTTAGGTATAGTTATACAACATATGAAAAGTAGAAAAATTTTGTTTATTAACAAATACTCGATATAAATATACGATATATGTATAGCTGAAATATACTCTCCTTTCTTTTTTTCAAGTTATCGTTTTTGCAGTAATATCTCGGCTCTCGGTGGCCCGATCAGAGCGAATTTTAGCTGGAAAAAAAAAGATCGAACAAAATTAACAAAACGGCAGCTATTATTAGGAAAAAATTCAAATTTTTCAATTCTTTTACAATAAAAAAATTAATATCTCGAAATGAAATATTTTGACGGAGTTGTCCGTGGTTCATCTGAGAGCCAGATGAACAAATATTATTGCTTTAAAATTTCAAATCTATACGAAGCTCAGCTTCGGATAAATCACTGCAAAAAGTTGAACGATAAAATTTCGAGAAGAACGCGTTTAAAATTTAAGTGGACGCGTATATTTATATGAGTATTTGTTTAAAAACAAAATTTTTCTATTCTTCATATGTTATATAAATATATGTGTAAAATTTTTATTCTTGCACATTTATTCAGTTCGTCACAGAATCACTATCAAAAATAAGCACGATTTTTCAGTAATCTGTGTGGGCCCTCCAGTGTCCCCTTGATGTAGAACCAAAACTTCGACTCGGAGGATGCTAAGCGCGGCGCGACATGTTTCCTGCCGGATATATCTCGTTTATTCAACGCGAAGATTATCGAAGAGCCGTCGCACGAAATGTTATCAAGGGGACAAAATCCTACAAAGTCTCTGACGGCTATCTCTTTGCAATTTCCTTCTTTTTTCGCGATCTCGGTGAAAATATGGCGCGGACAGGCACAGGTTCGCGTTGATTTAAAATTTCGCTCGCGTTATCGATAATCTCGATTCTCGGATCTCTCAATTTCAAACGTTACAACGCGATGGGAGAAATCTTGATTATGGAAGATTATTAACAGAGCCGTCCCGTAATCTGACGTCGGTGAAAATGCAAGGATATTAAGCGAAATATACCGACGCGTCTCTGTATTAGCGCACAATCGTCCCTTTCTCGGGATACCGCGGGGGGAAGCCGTTACCGCGGCATTTTAGGTCAGACAGGTTCGCAGAAGCCTGCCTCGGTACGCGTGTGTGTACGTGGGTGTGTCGCGTGTGA